ATGGAAATATATGCCTCTGACAGTCAACTTCAACTCAAAGAGATCAACAAAGTCAAAGAGCAAATAGCGAGTGTCACAGTTAGTCTCCAAAAACAGATGTCCCTTCTCCAAATGGACATCAGATCAGCCCTAGCAGTAGCTTCTGCAAATCAGGTAGTGACCAAAGACTACTTGAAGGTGATCATTGACAATCAAAAGGAAGCATACAAGCTGTTCAGACTTATTGGCGCAAATTCTGGAAACCGCAAGATGGAAGTAATTCTCCAACAACACAGTCCATCTCCAATACCACAGCTCCCTATTGCAGTCAAAGAAGGAGAAGTATCTTATATTCCTTCTCATCTGAACTTGACAAATCTAATCCTTGAAGCACAGCAAAGAAATCCGGAAAACTCAGCACAGCTTCTATCCAGCTCAGGACTGGATGGAACAGAATTTATAGGTACAGTTGTTGACCACTTCTCAAATGATGCTCAATCAGAAGAAAGACGTGAAAATTTAAGGCGCATCAAAGAACTGTGTGGGAACATGAAGGGCATCAGTGAGGTTGCCGGATCTTCAAAGCGCAAGAGAAACTGAAGGTTCTTTTCATCAAAAAAGGGAGAAAGTATGTGAGAACACTAATGTGTTTTGATGCAAACACCTTCTTGTTTAAACATTGCTTGATTGGTTTAAACATTGCAATATTGCTTCAACAATTTTCTTAATTATGCTTATTATGCTTGACTATACTTATCTCAAATATGATTCTGAGAATTTTTTTTTGAAGCGCATACATTCAGGGGGAATGTATTTCAGGGGGAACTTAACTAGTTTTTGGCTAACAATTGTTTTTGGCAATGAATTATTGATGAGCTCTAAGCAATGGAAGACGGATATCTCAGTTTTGGTACTAAAATTGGAAATCTCCGATTCAGGTACTTTACAAAATCTGCCTTCTTAAACTAAGCTTCAGTCCTTAATTCATTTCCAACAAGCTCTAAAAGTACTGGTCCCTAGGATGTTTAAAATGTACAGGACTTTGGAAAAATAGTACCACTTTTCTTTTAAAAATAATATTCATATTTGTTTTGGTGCTACCTCGTCCTAAGTAGAAATTAGAACTATAGGGAATGAAAAATGATAGTTTTATTTTGGGCCTTGAGAACCCAATAGGAATAATTTCCCTTTAGTACGTAGCTTTCTGTTCTTTTTGAGCCACTCTTTTGGGCTTAGCCAAACTAAAACAGTTATGATTCTCAAACCAAACGAAACTGATTTTCAAATTGGAACAGTTTCAACTCATTGGTAATTGGTAAAAGATTCCTTCCACTTTTCAACTTCTTGGAAGTTGAAACTCTTTTACTCTCACCGTTCCACCTACCAAATTAATGGAACCAGTGAACCCTCTCTTCTCCTATTTAAATCAAGATATCTTAATCCATTTCCATCACAAACAACTTTCTCAATATGAAAAGTCCTCAAACTCACTGTCTAAGAAACACACCAAGAAAAATATCCTCAATGGAGAAATTTTTCTTTCTCACCCTCATAGACGGGAATGGAAGAAGCCTATTAAGAAGAAAAGACTTTTAAGGTCTATGGTGAGAATCTCGGCAATAAAGAAGGTCTATGGTGGAAATCTCGTATTTTTTAGTATTAGACCATACACCTTCTCTGGAACAACACTCTCTCTATCTTTCTTCTTATTTTGAGAGATGTGTTGCTTCCAAGATCTTAAATCTCCACTTTGGATATTAAAGATCTATCAAACGCAACGCCAACCGTTCTGCCAAGCAGAATCTGCTGAAGCTGAAAACGGTCAATGGCGGAAGAGATCACAAAATCAAGACAAGACTTGGTTTAGGAATTATTGTAATTTGAATTGTATTTGTTTAAGAGTTTTTGTTAACAAGCTGTATATTATGAGAAACTAAAAGAAAGTTACAAAATTAGTTCTCAGTACAGCGACCGGAACTCTTAAACACTTGTTTGTCATCATCAAAAAGGGGGAAATTGTTGGGAAAAATATCATAGATTTTGATGATGATGTATTTAGAATGTAATAGGGACTTTAGGTCTCCCCCAATATTCAATGTAATTTTTCTTTTTAGAAATATTGTTAAAACCAAGTTCTTGAGATTTCCAATAAGGTTATGATATTTCTTTAAGCGTTTTGATGCCTGAAGACTTAATCAAATTCAGTGATATGGAAATTGGATATCTTAATCGGAAATGCTAGAGACAAGTAAGGATTTCTCTCAAGCAGATGAAAATCCTCTGATCCGGAAGACTACATAAGAACCGGATGTCTCGCTACAACCCGCTGAAGGCTAAGTCA